AAAGTTTGTTAAAATCTCTGCACTGTACATTGATCACATTCAGTGAGAACATTACAGAGCATTTACCTGGAAGGTGTTTAGAATATACAGGGGTTGGCCAAAATTATGGAAACACCAGGTAAAAGAACAAAATAATTACCGAATATGGTGTTTGATCGCCTTTGGCATCCAAGACAGCCTGAATTATCCTGGTAATTGACAGATTTAAGTCTTGGATGGTGGATAACGGAATCTGATACTACTCTTCTTCATGTAAAAATTGTTCCAGTTCTTGCAGAGATGCTGGAGGTGGAAAACAAGCCAGAACCTTTTTCTCTAAAATTGACCATAGTCACACTATGATACTGAGGTCCAGGCACTGTGGTGCCTAGGGAAGGTGCGAGACTTCATCTGCATGCTTGTCAAACCACAATTTGACAACACCAGCTGTGTAAATTGGAGCATTATTGTCTTGGTAAATGGGATAACAGTCATAGGGTGCATCTGTGTGGGTAGACCATGTGCTGACTGTGGTACACTGGGCAAGTCGCTGAGAAGGGAGAGCAGCACTTCTAAGAGTAGAAACAGGCTCTAGTAATAGGAAAAAGGCAAGAAGGAGCTTCTAAGTGCAGCAGTCATCAGAAATGTATTAAAATATGTCGCCACAACTAGAAGCGTCTTCTTGCCTTTTTCCTATTACCAATCTTGGTAAATGGAGCTGTCTTTGGGAAACAATATCTGCACCATATGGTGCACATTGTCGGTCAAAATTTGTACATAGTCACTGACAGTGACTCTACCTTTCAAGGTGATGATAGGGCCTGCAGAATACCAAAATATGGTTGCCCAAACCATGATTGCGCCACCACCATGCTTTACCGTTGGCAGAAGACAGTCCTGGTTGTAAGCTTGGGATGGTGTTTGCCACATGTAAACAAGTCCAGTCGTTGGGAACAATGTGAAGCTCGATTAATCAGACTATATTACAGTCTTCCATTGATCGATAGTCCACAATTTATGGGTGTTGCACCACTCTCTGCTCTTCTGAGCATTAATATTGGTCACACTAGCGGTTTGGCAGTTGTAGCTCGCCAGTGAATGTTTTGCTTATGGAGTTCCCTCCGTGCAGTTTTTGTAGACCTGGGCTTTGGAAGTCTGAGATTGAACTCTGCAGTCACTTTTGCAGCAGTTGTTTTCTTATTCTGGGTCACCATCCTGTGCAATGTCTGTTTATTGACCGTGCTTATGCTTATCAGACAATGTTTTACTGGAAACTGTATATGCTGTCATATCCTTTGATACTGTAGCTCGCGACAAGGCAAATAAATAGGCAAAATCAGTCACAGAAGCACCAGCTAAGCGGGCACCAACAATTTCCCCTGTTTGAAGCTCAGTAAGCTCTGACATGACTCTGTATTGCTACCAGTGCACACAGTGAATGATGAAAGTGAGGTTTCATCTAGATGTCTCATCACATAGTAGGAGCAAAAAAATGTTACAACAATTCCACTTTCAACATGAAACATGTCGCCATTTTCACAGCTGCAAATCATGTAGTGTTTCCAGTTTATTGTCCAACCCCATATATGTTTGCAAACTGGCATTTAGAGCAATTATAATAAATCTGTTTCACAATATGTGGATAAGACTTTGAACTGTCAGCAACACTATTGTTTGTTTAATAAACGACAATGCCTGCATTTATTAAGATTTGTCTTTACTCTGCACACATTTTATCACTGCTGGAGAAGGGTTTCAGTCTGTTTAGGTGGCTGAATTATCACAATGATAAGCTGTGTTAAATAGCAGTGGTAGGGAAGGTTTTCAAGGATGCACACAGGCCTCAGTGGATACCTATGATCTTGATTGAAAGGTTCATAGGTTATTCTTTCCACATATGTGAAATAAAAACAAAAATAAAAACACGGTAGGTCTGCATTTTCATGCAGTGCAATGCACCTCCCCACATACCACCACATTGTATCACACTGCAGTGCACTGTAGTGCATAGAATTGAATTAAGTATAGTTTTGTGTCAAAGAGAAAAAATGAATGATGTATTGTAGCAACTCATCAGTCCACCCAGGGGCGGACTGACAACACATGGGGCCCCCGGGCAATAGGGGATCATGGGGCTCCTGTGTCCTTGCCCAAACTCAAAAAAAGCCTATGAAAAAGGTACCAGGGGCAGCTCATGGGCCCTCTACTGATCCCGGGCCCTCGGGCAGTGCCCGAGTTTCCAAAGGTCAGTCCGCCCCTGAGTCCACCCCAACACAATGCACACCAATGTACGTACATTTTAACACACAGACTGGTGTAAGCGAGTAACATAACATGTAAACACTGCAGTGAATTGTTTCAGTGCACCACAGTGATCATGAACTACGCACACCAGTCCTTGTGTTATACATATCATAAAGCATGCATGCTGGTGTGAAAGGCTCCAAGTGTATTTGGTGCAGCAGTTGCAAGACATTTTTGTTTGCAAAACTGAATGTGTCCTGCTTCTTTTCTGACACATCTGTACACCAAAAAATGGTCCTGAATTCCCCTCCAAGGGTAAAGGGAGGAGGACCAAGGAGTTACATGCTGCAAAGTGCCCAATCAGATGCTATTACAGAATATATGATTTTTAAGGGCTTCAAATGATGATGACCCATAGTTGCAAATTAAGTCAAGGACCTTTAGGATAACATTGTGTTTTTAAACGTTTTTGGTACCATGTGATAGCTGCGGGCCAATCACAGCATCACAACAGTAAGCATGCTGTTCATAAATGAAAGCCAGTTTGCTTACATATTATCATTTTGATTGGTCATGGTGATCATATGATACCCCAGACACTCACAGCAGCTGGGTACCGTGTGCCATGATCTGCTGTGCCCGCCGGGCACAGTGATAATGGGACCAGGCCGCTGTGTGCCCCAGGGGCTTGCTAGTGCAAGGCATATGGGTACGTTGCCTAGCTTAGCTGTGTCGCCCACCCACAGTGAATGTATTGTGGGTGGCTGGCAAGCAGTTAAATCAGTTGGTAAGCAATAGTGTGTGACTTTTATTTATGTAAAATGTTTATCCTCAAAAAAACTGTTGCTCTATCTCCTTAAAAAGCTGGAGTTTGGCTTCAATTTGTTAGTATCAAAATCAGCTAGTACATCGCTAGCACTCGCCTTCCCCTCAGATTAAAGTGCAGTTCCACTCAAAAGTGGAATCTCTGCTTATTTGTCTCCTTTCCCCCTCCACTGCCATATTTGGCACCTTTTGGGGGGGAGCGGATACCTGTTTTTGACAGGAACCCGCACACACTTTCGGCTCAGTTTGCCACAAAGTGAGCTGGAGGTTCGGCCCCCTCCTTCCTCCTACAGTATCCTGGGAACTTTCACAGGTCCCAGAAGTCTGTCGGACCAATCAGGAGGTGCAGTGAGAGTAACGCATGTGCAGTGGGCACCAGGCTTTGAAGCCGCAAAGGTAGGAAATGTGTTACTAGCCAGATCACCAGGTAAAGACAGAGGGGGGAAAAGACAAATAAAAACAAATGCAGGCCACCACATCTAAGGATTGGTAAGTTTCAAAATGGTACATTTTTGGCTTTGGGCTTAACCCCCTGGCGCCTCCCAGCCTTTTAAGGGTTTCAGAGGCCAGGAGGCGGGGGCGTGGTTTTAGGGTCATGTGACCACCGTGATTCGCTGTCACGGCGGTCACATGATTGGGAAAGGTCCCAATCGAAAGAGGAAATCGGGACCTTTCCGTGAGTACTGGACATATGCGCTGGGAGCGCGCAGGGAGCACACTCTCAGCACATATGTTTTTCTTAATTGCACGCAAATGTGTGGCCGCTCGAACGTCAAGGCCCAGACTCCAGGAGGCCGCACATTTGCGTGCGGCTGACGCCAAGAGGTTAATACTGCTTTAAATTAGCTATCAGTGTTATTTTTCTTTTTCCAGGCCTTCTGTCCTATATTTTTAACTGGTACATCTGTGAATAATGCACTTGTTCTAGGGTTGCTGCACCTGCTCTTTCACTGTATGAAGGGAAGGAGTCAGGGTTGCCCCTAGGCTGGATGTCATGCTTTCGTCTCTTCATCTCTTTTAAAAGTGAAAGGAGGGTGGGTGGGTGTGAAGAATTAGTAGTTGTTAGTGCTTTTAGTTCAGATTTTACAAACTACACCTGCTCAAAATCAGTGTTTACTTGAAAACATGTGAAAATACATAATATATACATGCACAGATTAACACAGACGGAGGCATTGGCATTACACAATACGGCTGGCTGCACACCCTATCTGCACCTCACCTGGCGTGTTTTTTTACGTGTGGAATGTTTTATGCCTGAAAATGTCCGTGTTCATGTAGCATACAAGATTCCAGGATAAAATCGAAATAAATGCTTCCTATAAAATAAGAATTCTAATTATCTGCCCTACCTTCCATATCACCAATCTTCATGTTTTTGGAGTTCTAGTGCTGTCTATGAGTTTTCTATATCCAATACACTTCTACGTGTGTGAAATGTTTGCCTGTCCCCCCCTTTGGTGCACATTGTAGTTCAAACCACTGGCCAATACAAATCGTTTATAACCCGACTTTTCTTTTACCCTATTTTTGTTTCCTAATACAATTAATTTACCAGTGATCTTTGATATAATTATAGAAGGACATCTAAATTAAAAACATAGATCCTAGATTAAAATGAATACATTTTCTTGAAACCAAAATTGCTAATAAGCACCATGGTAATCCAAAATTTCAGTTTTGCTGATAAATGCATCAGGTATTGCATAGTAGTTTCAAAAGAAGAATAGTGCATGGTGAGACAAACCATAATCTTAGGAATACATAGGTGTTACAAACTTTATATTTACTTTACATGTATTATTAACCAAGACTTAGCTTCACTAAACCTGTTGCATTAGGTCCAAAAAAAAAAAACCTGAATCTCTAGGAGAGGACGTACATGGGAGTGGTTTGTCTTAGCCGCTTTTAAATTAGAGCAGATTGTTTTCTAAGAGCTAGTCAGCCACTATCAGGACTCGAGGATAGGAGCAGCTTTGAAAATCACCATGGTAAGCAAATTAGAAACTGATCTTTTGTGTGTTTTGCTTACCTGTGCTAAATGTTATAATTACTTTTAGAACTAACAGAGGCCCTGTGGTATTTTAATTAATCTAGGCTGATGAAAACATGTTAATCTAAAAGAGTTAAGAATTCAGACACCTTCAACTTTTTAAAAGGATTTATTAAGCTATTATTCAAATACAGTATTTAGGTTTAATCACAGAATTCAGCATTTCGAGTTAAAATGTAGTTTTGCTTCATTGGGAAAACTTCACCTGAAATACAATTTTTACAACATTAACACTCTCTAAATGTCCATCGTAAAATTATAACATGACCCCTGACTCCTTCTATGGCAATGTCATCCAATATAGTTCATCCATCATTATTTATGAATACTTTGACCTTCCTTCATGACCAGAAAATTGTTTGCTATTCAGCAATGTGCTAATTTAACTGGCAAATGCTCGGTCATGAAACACTGTCCCAAATTACATTTTTATCATTTTTTTTCACACAAATGGAGCTTCCTTTTGGTAGTATTTAGTCACCATTGGTTTTTTTTATTTTTTGCTATATAAATGAAAAAATACAGAAAATGGTGAAAATAGCACTTTTTTAGTTTCTGTTATAAAATTTGCAAATAAATAATATTTCTTCATACATTTAATCCAAACGGTATTCTGCTACATTTCTTTGGTAAAGAATAACCCAAATCACTGTATATTATTTAGTCTGTGTGAACAATATACAGTCTACAAACCATGGTATATACTGCATATTTAAAAATTGATCAATTCTGATGATCTATCTCATTTCTTAATGCCCTAAAATGCCAGGACAGTACATATTATTTAGCAAGAGGTATGGGGAGTTTTTTTTTTAAGTTGTAATTTTTTGTCACAATTCTTTGGAAAATAAAGAAATTAAATACATTTTTTCTTTTTTTTTAATTACATACTGTCAGCACTTCAGTACTCCAGTATCAATAATATATAAATTTCCAAACAGGGGCAAAACAAGTCACAGAAAACACATTGTATTGTGTGGAAACCGCAAACCTACAATTGCAGAGCTGGAGCAGTTATGCTGAAAAAGAAGATAAAAATCACAATGCCATTAGAGACAAAAGCAAAAATTTTCCACAGTAGATGAAAAGCATGCAAGTATTTTGATTGAGACCCAAGGCAGCAATGTAAGAAGGAAAGATGAGTAATTTGTTTTCCAAAAAGAAGAATTAGATTATGATATTCCACACATGGGATTCCTGAATATTAAAGAGACTCACTGCAAGCATTTGTAGTTGACTGCTATGTTAGAGGAAGAGATGTGGCCCACTTTATTTAGATTACAAATTATATTTCAGTTTATAATTCCACAAGCAAGAGCCAGAAATAATGTACAGACAAGCAGAACACCATGTAAATGTTTTACTAGACTTAGTGTGCTTTTTTCAGAGCCACAAGTCATAAAAACTGAGCCAATGTGCTGGACAAAATGTGCTTCCTTACTGGCTAAGATTCTATGTCAAGAAATGAGGCTGTCAGTACATCAGGATTTATCGTTTTTCAGATATATACTATAGTTTGTGGACTCTATAACTTTCCTACAGACTAAATAATATACACTGATTTGGTTTACTTTCACTACAGAAATGTAGCAGTATACATTCTAGCCTAAATTTATGAAGAACAATTATTTATTGCAAAATTCTATAACAGAAACAAAGAAAAATGTGTTTTTTAAAATCTATTTTCGTTTATTTAACAAAAGATAGAAAACCCAATGGTGATTAAATACCACCAAAAGAAAGCTCAAGTTGTGTGAACGAATGGGTAAAAATTTAGTTTTGGTACAGTGTTGCATGAACGCACAATTGTCATTTAAACTGTGAGAGCAGAAAGCTGAAAATTGGCTTTGGCAAGAAGGGGGTAAAAGTGCCTGGTATTGAAGTGGTTACACTTTTTGGTGAATGAGTAGGGCTACAATGTACCCAATACTTATATGAATTGGGAGAGGCGGGATCACATTGTTAAATGTGGCCTGGTATGGTTCAGGAGGGCGCGGGGGGCATTTATTTTTTATTTTTTAAAGCGGCATTGGTAAGATATGAAACAAATTGTGAAAACAAATTGGTCCAATATTGAGTCAATGGACCAATTAAGCACAGCACCATACTGATATAGATGTGGGGGTCTGTGGGTGGGGGTTATCAGAATTTGAAAGCCCCCTTGCCAGGGGCATGCTGAATCGATGATGTCACAAGGTTATTTAAGAACGGTCAGATGGCATAGCTGTCAAATGGTGAAAGCCTTCTTCAGGTAAACAGCTCTTTTTTTTTTCTTTTCTACGGGTCGGTGGCCAGCGTTTATCGTCATTGATGTTGGAACTACTTCGGGGGACATTTATTTTATTTTTTAAAGGACTTTTAAAAACTGTTGTGTTTTTGCTTACTTTTGTTACACTTTAAGTAGGTGAATAAGTAGGGGTGCCTTGTACCTCATTCTTATTTGAATGGGGGGGGGTTGGGATCTGGGTGCTCCCTTGATAAAATATGGCCTGGAATAGCAGGTCAGGTGGGGGGCATTTGCTTGTCCCCCCTTTCCTGACCTGCATGCTCAGATACGGGTCTGTTATGGGTTTTGGGAGGGACCCCCAGCATTTTATTTGTGTAATTTTTAAACTGGCTTTTGTAAGATATGACACGAATTCCGAAATTCTGAAAGCTAATTGGTCCAATATTGAGTCAAAGAACCAATTAATTTTCAGAATTCCGGAGTTCATTTTGTAATTTTAGCATTGTTTAGTCAGAACAGCATTTCCCCCACAAATCCTTACCATTCCCTTTGGATCTGATATGAATTTTAAGGGGAACCCTGTGCCAAAATTAAAACAAAAATAAAATTTTAATGAAATTTGTTACTATTGTTACTTGGAAATTCGGATACATTGTCCGAAAATTTGTCCGAATTTAGATTCGGACCGAAACTAATTACACATGTCTAGAAAGAATGTGTATTCCAAATTCACAACTGAGGAGCAGCACGAGGAAACATATAGTGTTGTTCATCCATTGGTCATGATGATGCACTGCAATTCAACCAAAAATGAATGGCCAATGTAGTATTTACCCAGCCCCAAAAATGGAACAATTTCTTAATCTGTAAATTAAAATGTAAACTATAAAACATAGGTTTCAAGTATTAAGAGGGACAAAGCACTGTCACCCAACACAAATATTCTTCCAAAAAAATTGGCTGTTGGGAGTGCCCAAACACAGTAAAGCAACAGAAAAATTCCTGCAGGGCACAGAAAGAACAAATAATGGACAGCATTTGCAATTGTGAAATAGCTACTAAAAATTGAGGTGCCATGTTACAATTGCTGTTGCAAAGAGCGGAAGCTGTGGTCCCATTTTTAGACAATAATGGTAGCAGGCCTACAGCATAAAAAAAAATGGAGAGGTTGTCAGGATCCTCAAATCATTTTATCAGTAGCATCTACAGCAGGGGTTTGGTATCTGCTGTTGACCTAAGATTGGTTCATTTGCACAAATGTCAGCCAGTCAGCAGTGTCTGTGAACAGGTTCACTTTTTGTTTGTCACAAAGCCCCCGACAGCACTGAATGCATTTTCAGAGAGAATGCTGGCTATAGGACAGGGCTGGGGAGTCCTAATGTCAGCTCACACCCAGATAATCAGCTACCATATGATGCAGTCACTGCTGGCAGCAGACAGTGCTGGGTGCCGAGGACAGCAAAAACTTTAAGGACGTTGTTCAGCAAGCCACCTCTACTGCCGCTCCTCCTTTCACCAACAGGAGGATCAGAGACACCTAGTCTGTGAGATGTTTTCCTGCCAGCCTCTGGAAATGATTGACACAGGGTCCTCCAAATTGCATCCTCCAGTTGCTTTAGAGCAGAATAAGCTCTGTGACTTTCCACTTCATAATGCAGATCAAGGAGACTTGCCAACTAGTAATGGTCCCTCTCCTTCATGCCACGATTTCTAGGGTCCCTTTGCAGGCTCTGGAGCATGAGGAAGCCCATGCACTGCAGCCTATTGGAAGCAAAGAAACCCAAGTCTTTATAGCTTATGAGGATGACATTGTTCTGAGCTACCTCCCCCTAGCCACATACTACTTCCACTGGCTTGGAGAAAAGAAGCCCAGCTCTAATGAGCTTGTCCTTGTGCCATACTTGTAGGTAGGTACTTGTTGATGACCCTCTGCTGCATGTGCAGATGCAGCAGCATTGGCCAAAGTTGAGTTCCACCAGATGGGAATGTCACAGATCAGGGCAGATGGAATATCTGCTGAATTTTCCATAAAGTGGCTGGGCAAGACCACCTGAAATAGCTACAAATTCTTCTAGCCTGCCACAGAAGATCTTGTAACCCTAGATACCTCTCTAGGACCTGCTGTACTAACTGAATGCGTGCATTTGCCATGCAAGGCATGTGTGTCAACTTTCCCTGCCAAAGGGTGGACAGCAAGTTGGTGACATTGTTGCACACCACTATACCTGGTATAAGCTACAGTGGTGTCTGCTCCTGCCCCTGCAGAGCTGAGAAATCTTGCCCCAGTGTGGCTCTTGTCCCCTAGGCATACCAACTGCAGCACTGTGTGGCACCTTTTTGCCCAAGTCATTACATAGCTTCGTGAATTTTTGAAAGGGGACTGGTGGATTAGAAGATGACTCAACAAGAAAGGGCATTGAGGAGGAGTAAGAGGAGGTGGAGGGGACAGCTCTGTCTCTGTCAGAACCAGCTGTAAGCACATGGGGCAGCTGAACAAGCTCCAGTGATGTGATCTGTCCTGCACCCCTAGTGGCTTCCAGCAGAGTCACCTAATGAACTATGAATAATGTATAGTGTACCTGCCCATACTTGCTGGACCAAGTGTTTGTGGAAATTTGGACCTTGCTATTGACCTCATGGTCCAGTGACGTGGGAACATTACCATCCACTGGAGGCGAAATGACAGGAAGGGCCTTGTGGGCAAAAAATGGTGGCTGGAAACCTGCAACTGCAGTACAGCATAAGTCGCACATTCTAGAAAGGGGGCAGAACTCAAAAATCTGGAAAGGCAAGAGTTGTAAAGCCAAAAATATGCCAAGCTGGCATTTAGGTGGCGCTGGTAGTGAGGGTGGCTGGGGGTGTATTTATTTCTTCAACTCTAGCAGCTGAGCTGAGGCAGAAAAATTTGCCTGCTCAATACTAAAGCTGATGAGGCAACTCCTGTGTGGCCTCATATAGGGCTCCTTCCCCACTGGAGGAGCCATAGGGTAGACCTCTGATACCTCTTAATATACCTCTTGTCCCTATTAATGCAGGCTGCTGAGATGGAATCGTGTAGTGGGGGTAGTGGTGGAAAAAGAGGAGCTGGAAGGAAATGGAGGTATGCAGCCCTTTTCCTGACAATTAGCATTCTGGCACTGTTCCTAGTGAGCTGAATGGTGAGAGGCCAGATATCTCTTTATACACGTGGTGCCCAAATGGCCGATGGTTTTGTTACGTTTGATACTCTGAGAAGACAGACACTGCAAATAACAATGATGCAATCTGCTGCACAAGAGCTGAAAAAGGCCCACGCATGTGTATTATGGGGAGTGGACCAGGGGTCAACACTGCCCTGCACCTGTGGAGCTCTGCCATCTAGTGGAAATAGGGTGGCTGCTCCCTCAACTTCTCTGAGAGCTGCCCCAGGATGACATCCTGCCATGCTGGAGTTTTTCTAACTTCCTTCTCTGCTCCATCGGGTACACAGGTGTGGTCACTCGAATCAACCTTGGCAGTATGCTGTGACTGTGAGTACATCACTGCCAATTGGTTCTACCTGCCTGGTGGCTCTTTCTATTACTCTCCTCTTCAATCTTGAAGCTCATTCATTTCTGTGAATCCTCTTGCGGCAAGTGGCTCACATTATGCTCAAGTAATTAAGACTCCTCTGTGACAGTTGGTGGGAAAACGGCAAGAGTAGCTGTGGATGAGGAGGGAGATAGGGGCGCTTTGGTAGCTGTGGTGGACTGCTAGCTGGTCTGCACCTGGGTATGATGAAGGCTTGGTTAGACGCTCCATCACCTCCTCCATGTGCTTTGGCTATGCAGCATGCCCAGCACCTCAAAAAAAACAGCAAACATGCTTTGCGTGCAGGTGATGCACACCAGCCACAAATACCGCTTTGGCTTGTGGACACAGGCTACTTTCCTTCTCATAGCTGCATGGCAAAATCTGCCTTCTTCTGTAGGCGTTCCAGACATGATGTGTGCTGCTTGGGTGCACTGTAAATTGTGGTGCTTTAGTGGACTAAACAGGACCTTGATGACCTGAGTTACTCTGCTGCAAACACAGGGCAGCTGCTGTTGTGACAACAGCAGATTGACACTGCTGTTGCTGCTGCTGACCCCCTAAAAAGAGAACCAGGGGTGCACTGACTATTGCGGCACTCAGGCACTGCCCGGGGGCTCGGGGTCAGTAGGGGGCCCCATGAGATACCCCTGGTACCTTTCAGGCTTTTTTTGGGTGTGGGCGAGGACACAGGGGCCCCATAATCCCCTATTGCCCAGGAGCCCCATGAATTGCCAGTCCACCCCCGAAGAGAACTAACTACTAGTGTGACTTCAAAGTATCATAATTTCCAGTGTGACTTTAGAGTGTGACTTTGAGTGTGACTTTGATCCGACTTTACACTCTGTGGCACTAAGTCGCATCAAAGTAGCGCAGAAACCTTTCAAATTCACTGCAACTTTAAGTCACACAGATCTGAACAGGTACAATTGAAAACAATAGGCTGCGACTTGTCAAGTGATTTTATGTGCCCAAAGTCACATGACAAGTTACACAAGTGTGAATGAAGCCTAAAGGAAAAGCAAAGACACGCCCCAAAATAACAAAAGGGGTGGAAAACAGCAACAGAATCTGCCATTGACAGGAAAATCCTAGCAAATGCTTACACTCCATTCTCCCTATCTACACAAACTGCAAATCACTGCAAAGTATTAGTAGCAGATATTAAGCACTGAATATAGTAATGTATATAGCACAAAGCAAATGTAGCACACTACACTAAACATCTCTCTCTCCCAGCAATAATCTCAGAGCATGCACAGATGTCCCTCACTAAATTTCCAACACATTGGCAAAGGGCTACTGTAAAAGCAGCCTTTTATAGTGTGTGGGCTAAAGCTTAGGTCAAATCCATCATTGCAAGACACTGGCCAATGGTGGCTTTGAGAATACATTATAGAATATTCAGTGGATCAATTCCTATCAAACATCCCAAAAGTTTGGAATTGAGCCCAAACACTCCGATCATCCCAACTGTTGATGAAAGGATTTTGCCAGTCTGGTAAAAATGGTGTATGGGGTCATACAGGACACTCAATAGGGGACCTGTAATTTTAAAAAAGGTTAAAATCTCTGCTCTAGAATACACCAGATGTTTTTTTTTTACATACATTTTCTTAATTTCTCTAGAAACAGTTGTACTTAAATGATTGGAATTTGCGATCCAAAAATGATAATGCCTGGAATATTCTCAATTATAAGGTCTTTCTTTTTTATTTTGCAGCTTTTTATACTAGCTATCTTATCCTTGCTAAGTGATCAAGTTTTCTTAACTCCTGTGCAAAATGATGACTTATTTCAGTATATTAATGATCATCAGAATGAATATATTCAGGTAAGCCCTGCAGTTTCACATAGTATATAACTATTGGATAACAACACACACTTGACAGTGCACAATGACATAGTATATATTGTATTTGTTGTTTTAATTTTAGAGACTGAAGAACTGGGTGGCAATAGAAAGTGACTCCAGTGATCCTTCAAAGAGAGACCAAGTTCAGATCATGATGGAAGTTACAAGGGACTATATTTTGAACATAGGTGGACACGTGGAGATGGCAGAAATTGGTGATCAAGAGGTAACATATATCTCCCAACATATTCCTTTAAAATGTGTACAACATGTTCAGAAAAAAAACTGTATATGAATAACTCTCAGATTAAAGCTTAGGTATTTTAAGTCCTAAAAAAATCAGAAGCTAAAACTGAGCTTGGTAAAACACTCGAAAGATACGCAGTAGTCTTGGGGTGTTGCTCTATAAACCATTTGGTTGTGGAATTTACAAAAAGATCTTTTTTTCTGATTTCTCATATTAGTTCATTTTCAAAAATATTTCTTATAGTATTCCCCAGGTATAACACTCCCACTGCCACCAGTTATCCTTGCGCATATTGGAAATGATACAAACAAGCCTACGGTGTGTTTCTACGGACATATGGATGTACAACCTGCAAAGAAAGAGGATGGCTGGAAAACAGAACCATATACTCTTGTAGAGAAGAATGGTATGTTGTGTCATGCCTGCTGTCTGACTACTAGGAATATCTAAATGTACAATTGGTTGTAAAAATGTGTTACTGGAAGCCATGTACAGTTGTGTTCAAAATAATAGCAGTGTGTTGAAAAAGTGAATAAAGCTCAAAATCCTTCTAATAGCTTTTATTTCCATACACACAAATGCATTGGGAACACTACACATTCTATTCCAAATCAAAACATGAAGAAAAATATATCAAATTTGTGTTGTTCCTCTAAAAAAATTGAAGAAAAGTAAATATTAGACTGTTCAAAAAAATAGCAGTGTTTGTATTCTTCTTTACAAACTCAAACATTCACTATATAAACTGAAAAATGTTTGAAGATTTTGCTTTCCTTTGAATCACTTAATATTTAGTTGTATAAGCACTGTTTCTGAGAACTGCTGTACATCTGTGTTGCATGGAGTCAACCAACTTCTGGCACCTGTGAACAGGTATTCCAGCCCAGGATGATTGGACTACATTCCACAGTTCTTCTCTATTTCTTGGTTTTGCCTCAGAAACTGCATTTTTGATGTCACCCCACAAGTTTTCTATTGGATTAAGATCCGGGGATTGGGCTGGCCACTCCATAACGTCAATCTTGTTGGCCTGGAACCAAGATGTTGCACGTTTACTGGTGTGTTTGGGGTCGTTGTCTTGTTGGAACACCCATTTCAAGGGCATTTCATCTTCAGCGTAAGGCAGCATGACCTCTTCAAGTATTCTGATGTATTCAAACTGATCCATGATCCCTGGTATGCGATAAATAGGCCCAACACCGTAGTATGAGAAACATCCCCATATGATGCTTGCGCGACCATGCTTCACTGTCTTCACAGTGTACTGTGGCTTGAATTCAGTGTTTGGGGGTCGTCTGACAAACTGTCTCTGGCCACTAGACCCAAAAAGAACAATCTTACTTTCATCAGTCCACAAAATGTTGCACCATTTCTCTTTAGGCCAGTCGCTCCTTGGCAAATTGTAACCTCTTCAGCACGTCTTTTTTTCAACAGTGGGACTTTGCGGGGGCTTCTTGCAGATAGCTTGGCTTCACATAGGCGTCTTCTAATTGTAACAGTACTCACAGGTAACTTTAGACCTTCTTTGATCTTCCTGGAGCTGATTGTTGGCTGAGTCCTTGCCATTTTGGCTATTCTTCTATCCATTCAAATGGTAGTTTTTCGCTTTCTTCCATGTCTTTCAGGTTTTGGTTGCCATTTTAAAGCATTTGCGATCATTTTAGCTGAGCAGCCTATCACTTTCTGCACTTCTTTATATGTTTTCCCCTCTCCAATCAACTTTTTAATCAAGGTACGCTGTTCTTCTGAACAATGTCTTGAATTACCCATTTTCCTCAGAATTTCAGAGAGAAATGCACTGTAACCAGCATGTACAACATTTGCTGCCTTCCTTCCTTAAATAAGGGCAATAATTGCCACCTGTTTTTCAAAGAATGAATGACCTCACTAATAGAACCCCACACTGCTATTATTTTGAACATGCCCCTTTCAATTAATGATTCAATTACACAGAATCAGCAGCATGCATGTCATGACTGTTGGGTCTGTTGGATTTCTATTACTCTACTACACCTGCTAGTAAATTATTTGCTATGTAGAAATATAATTTCTACCAAAAACAGTGATTGATCAGGTTAGTGATGTCTGACTGCTATTATTTTGAACACAACTGTATATAAGATTTATAGAGAAACATAATAGAATGAAGTCTTCTGTTTAGAACAAACTGAAATAGTACATAGTATGATGACTTTTTGACAATTTTCTTATTCATTGAGCCCTGTAAGAAGAATGCAGATCAAGAGCTCTAACTTTACTGGCTGCATAACAGTCTTTAGACATTTTACATACCTATTTAATCATGTATTAATACTTGTATTTATAGCATACGTGTGTTTTTTTTTTCAAGGAAACCTGTTTGGCAGAGGCACTTCTGATGACAAAGGACAAATTCTGGCTTTGCTGCATGGAGTGGAATCCGTTAAGAAAATTGTATGTAAACCTATTATGCATGCTACAAATAGCTAGATATTACTCCTACACTCTTTTTGTAATTTAGCACTGTAAACCTGGACTCGCTAACAATTAGTCATTTGTAGAACAGAGATTAATTTAAATGAGTAACAATACTACACTGCACAAAAAAATTAAATGAACACTTTTTAATCAGAGTATAGCATCAAGTCATTTAAACTCCTGGGATATTGACCTGGTCAGTTAAGTAGCAGAGTGGGTTGATAGCGGTTTGTTAATCAGTTTCAGCTGCTTTGGGGTTAATGAAATTAACAACAGGTGCACTAGACGGGCAACGTTATTTTCCCTACTCATCTTTTCTAACCGTTTTTCACTAGTTTTTTATTTGGCTAGGTTTAGTGTCAGTACTGTTGGCATTAAACAATACCTGGACCCTGCAGAGGTTGCACAGGCAGTAAAACTCTTCCAGGATGGAACATCAATACGTGCCATTGCCAAAAAGTTTGCTCTGTGACCCAGCACAGTCTCAAGAGCGTGGAGGAGAACCCAGGAGACAGGCAGTTACTCTAGGAGAGCTGGACAAGGCCATAGAAGATCCTTAACCCATCAGCAGGACCGGTATCTACTCCTTTGTGCAAAGAGGAACAGGATGAGCACTGCCAGAGCCCTACAAAATGACCTCCAGCAGGTCACTGGTGTGAATGTCTCTGACCAAACAATAAGAAACAGACTTCATGAGGGTGGACTGAGGGCCCAAGGTCCTCTAGTGGGCCCTGTGCTCACTTGCTGGTACCATAGAGCTTGATTGGCATTTGCCATTGAACACCAGAATTGGCAGGTCTGCCACTGGTGCCCTGTGCTTTTCACAGATGAGAGCAGGTTCACCCTGAGCACATGCGACAGATGTGAAAGAGTCTCGAGGAGCCATGGAGAATGTTATTCTGCCTGTAACATCATTCAGCATGGCCATTTTGGTGGTGGGTCAGTGATGGGCTGGGGAGGCATATCCATGGAGGGACGCAAAGACCTCTACAGGCTAGACAATGGCATCCTGACTGCCATTAGTTATCGGGATGAAAACCCTTGGACCCATTGTCAGACCCTACACTGGTGCAGCGGGTGCTGGGTTCCTCCTGGTGAACAACAATGCCCAGCCTCATTTGGCAAAAGTAAAAGTATGCAGGCAGTTGCTGGAGGATGAAGGAATTGATACCATTGAATGGCCCCCACGCTCACCTGACCTAAATCCAATAGAACACCTCTGGGATGTCATGTTTTGGTCTATCCAGGTTGCCCCTCAGCCCTTCCAGGAGCTCAGTGATGCCCTGGTCCAGATGTGGGAGGAAATACCCCAGGACACCATCCATCGTCTCATTAAGAGCATGCCCTGACGTTATCAGGCATGCATACAAGCACAAGGGGGCCATACAAACTACTGAGTACCATTTTGAGTTGCTGCAATGAAGTTTCAGCAAAATGGACTAGCCTGCTGCATAATTTTTTCACTTTGATTTTCAGGGTGTCTGAATTCAGTCTTCTGTAGGTTGATAATTTTCATTTCCATCAAACGATGGGGCATCCTTACGTTCCTAACGCATTACCCAGTCCATATCAGTATAGATATCCAGCGTGATATTTTTCCCCATTGAAATCTGATGTGTTTTTAAAGTGTTCCTTTAATTTTTTTGAGCAGTGTATATGGAGGCGCTAGCAGTGAACAATTTACAACTCGTTATGAAGCTGGACCAGAACCAGCCATGCTGAGTTGGTTTTGGGGCTCCACAAGATTTAACACACAAGTAGATTATATTTCTGACATAAATGGATATATTTTGTAAATGATGTGTGCTTGAACAGCTTATTGAGGACTGCCATGTTGTTTCAGGGTCTACCAGCAAATGTGAAGCTTGTGATTGAGGGAATGGAGGAAGTAGGGTCACAAGGTCTTGAAAAAAACTTGTTGAGGACAAAAAAGACACCTTTTTCTCGGATATTGACTACATTGTAGTGACAGATACTCCCTGGCTTAGTAAGAAGCCAGGCATCACTTATGGTGCTAGAGGAAACTGCTACTTTCTTCTAGAGGTATGGTATTCTAGATTCACACTTGAACTATGAAAACTGTAAGGTTGGCCACAGATAAATGATGTTAGATGTACAGGCCATCACATAATCATGTATTGTCAGTTCACCCAATGTTATTTGTGCAGGGGGGTTGAAGAGTGTTTGTACCAAGTTTTGGTAACTTCCGGTATATTTTTTTCTTCTCAAAGCAGATAGCCAACAGGCCACACAGTTATCTGATCTAACATGTTGGACCAGGCAGTGATCATACTTTGACCAGCATTCCCTGTGCATTTTCTTTCTTTCTCTCTGTATAACCCTCTGTACCTGTCTGACTTTGATAGATTGACCACACACATTTAATTAGGTTAGGCCAAAATTAGGCCAAAATTAGGCCTGCACAGATCATGCTCTCCTTTGTCTAATGTGTTGATATTGTGGGGATGATTTGCTAAAAGAGTAGAGCATGCAATTGAATTTTCACTTTGCATATGAATTTTCAGTTAGTTTACTGAATATAATGAAAATCCACTTTGCATAACACAACTTTATATTTGTTTGCACATGATTGGATGATGGAAGACAGCAGAGCTGAGCCTTTTGCTTTTTTGTTCTCTGTGTCATCATGAAAGAAGTTCCCCTAACTTCCTGTGCAAGTGGCCACACAGGAAGCTATGAGAAATGTTCTCAATAGATACACAGACAGCAATCTAAATGGGAGAGAGGTTTTGGCTTTCAGCTCAATACTAAGCCTATTGCTAGAATATAACTTCTGTTCTGTTTTGTCCAGGTTGAGGGTGCAAGGCGTGACTTACACTCTGGAGGTTTTGGAGGAACAGTTTATGAGGCCATGAGTGACCTAATTTATTTACTAGGTAAAATGTAAAAATAACCATTATGATGATATGATTATTAACCCCTTAAGAACAATTTAATGGTTTGAGCTCCCTAATGCATGTTATACACTCACCAGTTACGTTATTAGCTACACCTGTTCAATTGCTTGGTAGCACAAATTGCTAATCAGCCAATCACATGGCAGCAACTCAATGCATTTAGGCATCTAGACGTAGTGAAGGCAACTTGCTGAAGTTCAAACCGAGAATCAGCATGGGGAAGAGAGGAATTTATGTGACTTTGAACCTGGCATGGTTGTTGGTGCCAGACAGGCTGGTCTGAGTATTTCAAAAATGACTGGGATTTTCACACACAACCATCTCAAAGGAAATCGAGACTCATCAGACCAGGCAACATTTTTCTAATTTTCTATTGTCCAATTTTGGTGCGCCTATGTGAATTGTAGCTTCCGTTTCCTGTTCTTAGCTGACAGGAATGGCCCCTGGTGTGGTCTTCTGCTGCTGTAGCCCATCTGCTTCAAGGTTCAACGCGTGTGTGTTCAGAGACGGTATTCTGCATACCTTGGTTGTAACGAGTGGTTATTTAAGTTACTGTTGCCTTTCTATCATCTTGAACCAGTTCTGCTGCCCATTCTCCTCTGACCTCTGACATCCACAAGGCATTTTCATCCACACAACTGCTACTCGCTGGATATTTTCTCTTTTTTGGACCATTCTCTTTAAACCCTAGAGATGGTTGTGTGTGAAAATCCCAGTAGAGAATCAGAACTTTTTGAAATACTCAGACCAGCCCGTCTGTCACCAACAACCATGCCATGTTCAAAGTCACTTAGATCCCCTTTATTCCTCATTCTTTTGCTTGGTTTGAACTTCAGCAAGTCTTCTTCAGTATGTCTAGATGCCTAAATGCATTGCGTTGCTGCCACGTGATTGGCTGATTAGTAGTATGTATTACCAAGCAACTGAACAGGTGTACCTAATAAAGAGGCTGGAGAGTGCAGTTTTCATGTCTTAGGGACTTAATGAGTCCTTGGAGCCAGGGAACGGTTGACACAGGAGAGGCATTATTCCATATACTGCATGTGTATGCTAGGAACATTGATGTCAGAGCTCTCAAACGGAACAATATGTCATCACTTCATTTAAAAAAAAAAAAAATATTCCTGAGCTGTTGAAAGAGTGAAATAGTTGCTACAAAGATTAGGCAGAGTGACAGATGTATCTCCTTTTTCATGTTCAACTTTAGTGAAACCCCAGGAAATACATTTTCTTGTTTTGTACATAACAGGGAAGGTCTAAAAACCTCTGTTTTCCTGCTGTCCTGATTTCCTCTCCTTCCTGTCATTTCACCAGGACAGAGAATAAGCGAATACAATCCATTGGAGAAAAGGACAACATTAAAAAAAAACTTACTTTTAACAAAATGGGGCAGCACAGTGGCTAAATGGTTAGCACTTTTGCTGGCCAGTACTAGGGTTGTTGGTTCGAATCCCAGCCACGGCACCTCCTGCCTGGAGTTTGCATGTTCTCCCTGTGTCTGCGTGGGTTTCCTTTGGGTACTCCGGTTTCCTTCCACACTCCAAAGACATGCTGCTAGGTTAATTGGCTCCTGTCTAAATTGTCCCTAGTATGTATGAATGTAAATTAGGGACCTTAGATTGTAAACTCCATGAGGGTTAGGGACTGATGGGAATGTACAATATATATGTGAAGCGCTGCGGAAATTGACAGCGCTATATAAGTACCTGAAATAAATAAATAAATGGAGAAAATATATAATCTCTTTTTAGATGTTATAGTTGAGAGAGGTCCTAACCCTTCCCTGTTTTAAGTCCCTTCACACACTGGCTAAAAGTTCAGTTTTTGAAACTTTCTTCTAGTATGGTAGTGGCAGAGGTTCATTGTGAGACACAAATTTCAATGTCTACAATCTTAATTTTGTTGCATTGTAAAAACAGGCTGTTAGACATATAGAATGCATTGGAAATCAGATTTGATTATACAGAATGCAGGTCCTTGCAAACATCTGCATCTGTGCTTGTGTATACTTGTTTATAGCCGAATTCTAGGCAAATAGCTAAATACACAAATGAGACACATACACTGCCCAAAAAATTAAAGTAACACTAAGAAAACACATCAGATCTCAATGGGGAAAAACATCATGCTAGATATCTATACTGATATGCACTGGGTAATGTGTTAGGAAGGTAAAGATGCCCCATTGTTTGATGAAAATGACAATTATCAACCAACAGGGGACTGAATTCAAAGACCCCCCTGAAAATCAAAGTGAAAAACTGTAGCAGCAAGCTAGTTCATTTTGCTGAAATTTCATTCCAGCAACCCAAAATGGTAGTTTGTATGGTCCCCATGTGCATGTATGCATGCCTGACAATGTTGGAGCATGCTCCTAATGAGATGACGGATATTGTCCTGGGGTATTTCCTTCCAGATCTGGACCAGGGCATCACTGAGCTCCTGGACAGTCTGAGGTGCAAATTGGCGGCGTCAGATGGACCGAAACATGATATCCCAGAAGTGTTCTATTGGAGTTAGGTCAGGCGAGGTTTTGTCCCTTTCGCAGACTTTGATTGGAATGATTTGATTTAATAGAGAAGCAGCACACTTATTAGCTCATCTCTCATTCTGATCTCTCCTCCTATCAGCATGTTGTTTGTTATCACATGACCACTGTAGCATGATTGATTAGTCCTCTGTACTGTTTCTCCCTGTCCTAGTCTGAGCTCTGCTATGCAGGGCTGCATGAGGCTTTTGCCAAGTCAAATTTACGTACATGTACTGCTTGTAATTAAAAGAATACATGTATTGATGCATTACTAAATAAAGAGCTGCATTAATGTGATCCTTATATATCTGCCTGCAGTTCAACTTTTATAAATCCCTGTATAAGTAAATAGATAAACTCTGAACACCCCTGATATCATGTAAACCAGTCAAACAGAGCAGTGCATCCTTATGTAGCACTACCCCCTTCGGGGTTGCTGATGATTTGGGTCCCCCTATAGTCCTGCATAGCCAGGCAATCTACATTCTCTGCACAAGCTTGCATCCAGAGTTCTCAGTCCTTGAGCTTTTGTTTTGTTATTTATGGGATTTTGAACTGGGATAAGGTTAGGGGTATACAGGATGCCTAAGTGTACTGATAACTGAGGACAAACTCCGTAGAACTATTTACAAATTTCTCTTTTGCAGCACAGTCTCTGTTGGAGAGCTAACCAGTGTCTCCACAATGTACCACCCAAGACCATAGATGAAATTATCCTCTTCATCCAGCAAACTGGAGGTTATCCTGAGCAGGGGATCCAGCTCCTGTCCCTTTAAATAGGTGAACAGTCACTAGCTGGGGGGCTAATCTGGTTTCCCACCAGAGTGCTCCTTCTCTTATCTGCCCAGGGGAGATCCTGTACTGCTCCTGAGTTGGCTTCTGCTACCAGACCATCTGAGCTGCCCCTTCCCTGATATACAGGTTGTCCTCACTCAGGGGGCCAGTGAGTTCCAAGTTTTCCTCCATTCAAGCTCCAGGCCTGCAGGTAGGCCCCATCCCACTGGGCACTCCCCATAGCCTCTTGCTCTCAGACTCACATCTTCCACCTGAACTCATCCTCCAACTCTCCACTCTCTTCCCTCCTCTCTCCGCTCCTGTCTCTGAGCAGGCTTCAACACTTTTTAAAGGTGTCCAGCCTCTTGCCACCCTCTTGTTGGGGATTGGCTAGGGCCCCTCAAGCGTGCCGCCAGCAACTCCTCACCACCCACTGCCTCCAAGGCCTTCCTTCAAAAGCCCCAGAGCAGGGGGAAATTCCAGAGGGGTTGGCCTGCAGGAAATTAATGTTTTTTAGATGTCCTTTCCGTTGATCTCCATTTTACAGCTGTGCTAAATTGGCCCTTACTCTGCATTCTAAGCTTATCCATCAATTTTTGTAGGTCAGCTTGTGGATGTTGAAGGTAAAATCCTGATTCCGGGTATTTATAACGATGTCTTACCTCTCACGGAACAAGAAAAAGAATTATACAAGAACCTTGAATTCAACCTTGATGATCTGAAAGCTGATACAGGAGCGAAACAGTTTCTTCATGAAACAAAGGTAAGTGCACCTCTTATAGGCATGGTGACTACTAAGAACTGAAGTTTAAAGTGTTCCTAAACCCAGGACCCTGCATTCACTATATCTGGTATACCACAGTAAACACAACATGGAAATGCAATTATTTTAGTAAAAATAAACTGCTAAATACCGTTTCTCATCAGCAGTTAGAGCAGTCTTGTGACTTCTATCAGAGTTCAGCAGAGCACTGATTAAAGGTTGTAGGAGGAGTTTTCTTTCTGCTCTAGGAGGATGTGAAACCTCTGACCTCTGTCTGGACAGTGCCAATTGGCCCTGTGTTGATCACATGCACCCTCCCAAGAGAAAAAAAAAAAAACCTCTCTAGCAATACACATCAAGCTGAGCATATGCATGTGACTATGGATTCAGTCTGTATCAGGTGGTCGTTTCAACAAGAGGAGGGGCAGAGAAGAAAGGATCAAACCTCCTTTTTTACACAATGCAGAGGATTAACCCCTTAGGTTCCACAGTGAATATAACAAGCATGCTTTACTGCATGTGTGGACCGACACAGGGAAACACAGACTTCAGGTATAGCGTATAAACAAGATAATTTATTAAGGACAACACAAACATAAACGCAGTGCAACAAACCAAACCCAAAACTAACACAAATACATACAACAAGGGTGAAACAAACCCAAACCTAAACTGATATATAGATATATATATATATATATATATATATGGAGCACAACGTAGTCAGGCGGGCCGGGTCGGTAGATAACGGGCAAACAGGGTACCAGGAGCGAGCGGAAGAGTGGTGAGGAATAGCCGAGGTCAGGACAGGCGGAGTTTGTTCAGAGTCAGGTTCAGAGTCAGGATCAAAGCAGGATCAGGCAGGAAGCAGACAGGATGCAGGTACGGGGCTCATGGGAAACGTACACTAAGGCACTGTTCACAGGCCTGGTCCTGCTTAAATACACCTCCTGCAATCAGCCTCAGGTGATGGTCTGATTACAGGAGTGAGATTCTGGCTGCTGAGAGCACCAGCCTTGGTACTGCAGCCCACAAGGCAGGTGAGTCCCACCACCATTGGCGAGTCCATTCCTGACAGTGTCCCACCATAAAAACGGGTGGCACATATAAAATGTTCCCAAAGGTGAACTTATCCTTTAACAAATTATTTTTCCCAAAAAAATTCTTATAGATCTGCAAAACTGGAGTCATACTCTACCTACATGCTTTATGTTGCAGCATGCCTTTTTAGGGCTGTTGTGTACAGGCTTGGAGCTTGTGTCAATTGAATCAGACTGAGACACTTCTCCGATCAATCAGAATCCATTGCAGGTGCATCTAATCTGCAGCTGACCTCATTATTACTTGCTTTAACCTCCCTGGCGGTATGATTATTTCAGATTTTTGGTGCTGAAAGCGGTACTATTATTTTGCATGGAAATATGTAGTTTTTATATTGTAGGCCTGTAATTTTTAGGAATAACTCACTGAAATCTGTCCAAACAAGAGTCTAGTAAACATCTCGGGTATGATAAAACTTGAAACACGAAATCATAAATTATAATTTAATAAATAATCATAAAAAATAATAATATAATAATTTAATTCAATAATATAATCAAACCAAAAACACTGAAATTTGAAATATAGCGCCAAGTTTGCACATCGCTGAGCAAAGCTGCAAAATCGTTTTCAGTGTCTGATGCTGAATTTCCCCACGAATCATTATCACTCAATTCTGCAAGTGGTTCTGATTTACTATCGCTGTTCTCTAACCAGTCTAAAACCGCTTTTGACCTAAATGGACGCTTTTTGGACACCATGGACTTTTCTAAGTTTCCAGGCAGAAAGAACAGTCAAAATGCAGGCAGGGCACAGGACAAAGCACTAGGGACAAGATGTATGTAAAATGCTTTGAAACAGCAATGTTTTGCTATGTAATATTCGTTTACAAAAAAATGACAGGGACCGGAACACGCATCCGGATGCCGGCATCGGCCGGAGGAGATGGCCGGGGACGCTGCAGGAGGGACATCGCGGGAGCGAAGGACAAGGTAAGCGCTGCAGGGAATCACTGAGCAACACCGCATGGTAAGCCTGAGTGTAGCTCGGGGATACCGCTTTTGGTACTGAAACTCTACCCCGAGCTACACTCAGGAATGTAGCAGGGAGGTTAAAGGATAAGTCCACCTTTGGGAACATGTTACGTGTTCCACCTGTTTTTAGGGTGGAACATGTAACATATTCAAATAGCCGCACCCCCTCTCCCTCTGATTGATAGTACAGGCAGAAGTCGTCCCCCCCCCCCCCCCCCGTACTATCTGTCAAATTTGAAAATAGCTCCGCCCACACAGCCACATCATGCATTTACAGACTTCCGTAAACTAATGAGCTGAAAGTCTTGACAGCCCTAGCGGCTGTCGGCTTGTAGTTTTCAATGAACTACCACGGCGCTGTGGATCACCATGGTAGTTCATTGAAGCTTCCTGTCAGAATATCTGTTTCTTCTACATCCAATACGGGAAGCAGATATTCTGACAAGTTTGCAGGATAACTGTATGACATGGCACAATACTTTCCAGATTTCTGTAGACAAAAATAATTAATGCACATTTTTTTACCTGCAAAAAAATTTGCATTTATTATTTTTGTCTAAAAGCTGAACTTATCCCTTAAACCAACAAGTACTTTTTTCACCACTACATTTTTTATTTGGGCTTATAAATAACAAATGCAATAATTTAGGGGGCAGAGGAAAGGTTTATCATAGTATAACACCTTTGGTAGTTAAGGAATATGTACAGTAGAGTTTCTCCTTAACAGAAATGCTTATTATGTCACTCTGCCCATACTGCACAGCTATAAGCATTCAATTAGAAGTTAATATTGTTCAATTTTGCTATTTATTTGTTTGTCATATTGGGTTTGCAGGAGGAAATACTCATGTACAGATGGCGATATCCTTCTTTATCAATCCATGGCATTGAAGGAGCTTTCTCTGGATCAGGAACAAAAACTGTAATTCCTGCAAAAGTTATAGCCAAATTCTCCATTCGTCAAGTTCCCAATATGAATCCATCTGTTGTAGAAAAACAGGTATGCCAGCAATAATGTTAGGAGACATAATATTCCTAAAATAAACCATGTCATATTATCTGTGTTACTGTGCAATGAAAAAAGCAAAAATAGGCTCTATCAGATCTATTTCAAATGTTCAGAAATTAGTTTCAGATGAAATTAAGTTACTCTAAAAAAGTTGATTTCTGAGCGCAATATTAATAAAAATATGCCTTAAACTTCTTACAATCCATGGTAATTGTATATACAGTGATATAATGAAAAAATTACATAGGCCCTGGAAAATTATGTATATGTTATAATAGTCCAGCTTTTTGTACTGACTGCCTAGAAAGTGTAATGGAGAATTGCTTTGGAAATGTATACCTCTCCTCTCTCTCTCTCCTCCTCTCTTTTTGTCTCTCTACTTATAGACCAGTAAACACACGTATGCGCTTAAATTACTGCACTCGAATGTAAATTTTTCTATTTGTTTTACAGCTCTGTACTCAACAATGTATTACTGATTTTTACTCAGCTGTGTGCATTGTCGCAGCTTTTTGTGCTGACTGCCTAGAAAGTGTAATGGAGGAGAATTGCCTTGGAAATCTCTCCTCTCTCTTTCTCTTCTCTCTCTCTCTCCTCTTTCTTCTCCTTTCCCCCCTCTCTCTCTCCCCTCTCCCTCTTCCCCCCTCTCTCTCTCCAATCTCCCTCTTTCTACTCCTCTCTCTCCCCTCTCCCTTTTTCTCCTCTCTCTCTCCCCTCTCCCTTTCTTCTCCTCTCTCTCTCCACCCTCTCCTCTCTTTCTCCCCTCTCTCCTCTCTTTCTCCCCTCTCCTCCTCTCTCTCTAGCATTCTTCTCCTCCTCTCTCTCCTCTCCCTATTCATAGACAAGTAAACACACATATGCGCTTAAATTACTGCACTCGAATGTAAATTTTTCTATTTTTTGTTTCTATTTTTGTTTCACAGCTCTGTACTTAACACTATATTACTGATTTTTACTCAGCTGTGTGCATTGTCCCAGCTTTTTGTGCTGGCTTCCTAGAAAGTGTAATGGAGAATTGCCTTGGAAATGTATATCTCTCCTCTCTCTTTCTCTTCTTCTCTCCCCCCCCCCCCTCTTTCTCCCTTCCTCCTTCTCTCCTCTCTCTCTTTCTCCTCCTCCCCCCCTCTCTCCTTCTCCTCCTCCCTCTCTATCCCCTCTCCCTCTTTCTTCTCCTTTCTCTCTCACCTCTCCCCCCTCTCTTTCTCCCTTTCTCCTCCTCTCTCTCCCCCTCATCTCTCTCTCCCTCTCTCTGCCCCCTCTCTCTCTCCCTCTCCTCTCTCCCCCCTCTCTTTCTCCATTTCTCCTCCTCTCTCTCAATATCTCTCCCTCTCTCTTTCTCCCTCCTCCTCTCCCTCTCTACCTATAGAGGAGTAAACACATATGCGCTTACATTACTGCACTCAAATGTAAATGTTTCTATTTTTGATTCACAGCTCTGTACTCAACACTGCATTACTGATTTTTTACTCAGCTGCGTGGATTGTCCCATAGACAACAATGCATCTCATTGCAGATCAGTAAACAACTCTGCATTTTTTACTCCTGTGTGCAAGAGGCTTTAGGGGTCTATATATCAACAATGTCACACATGATTCCCATAGTGTTCTCTCATTGTTCTAATTGGACTTTAGGAATGGAATTGGAAAAATATTCTAATCCTTGGAGAAAACTTTACAAACAAAGCCCTTACTCTAGGCATTCTCTTTCCCACAGGCCCTTTGCATAGTGATTCTGTAGAACAGTTACTCCCAATTTATATCCTGCTATCCTAATGACTCCATCAATGTAATCCAGTTGAGGCAGGAGTGGTCTGAGTATGCTTCTGAAACTCCTAATAGCTTACTCTGAGGCTAGAACTGCCAAATGTGCCTACGCATTGTAACATGTGAGAAAATGCTCTGCTTCAAATCAGAATTATATACAAAATGCATTTTTTTAACTGATGTGCTTTTTCACATGAACCCTCGCTAATTAATACCCATTAGATAGACAAAGCTAGGAAAATATTTTCCCAAATATAGTTCTACTTTAAAATAACTCCACAGTTTTCAAGCATTACACTGCATCTTTGGGTGTGTTGGATGCCTGATCCTCTACTGTGATCTGCAGTTCCCTCAACTGGTCTCTTATCTCTATTGTGTCCTGCAATGATGTGGACGCCGTCAAGAGCAACAGCAGAGCATAGACTGGGAGGAGGGATCCAACATTCCTGGTAATGTGTTTGATACATTAGCCAGTATAGGCCTTGTAGACTGTAAAGAGATAGGTGGCAAGGGTAGCAGGATGGATGAAAAGTAACTTTTTTTTTTTTTTGCAGGTAAATCTTTTCAAAACGTAAAAAAATATTTTTGTTAAATGGTGGCAGAGTTGCATTTGGCCTGTTCAATGACTTACCTACAAAATCATTGAAATCACTGCAACGTAAACTACATTGACTGAACTTTATCTCTCCCTAGAAATAAAAAAATATTAAGTAGAGTTATTTTGCTACAAAATCACTGGTGTTATGGCTCTTTAAGAGGCATGACAGGAAAAGAAGGGGATGAATCACTCCTCTGACTCATTTACTTGTGCATTGAAACTGGATCTTGAGCTATTGATCTGTGTAAGCAACTGTCTTCTTTCAAGAAAGCAGATAAGGATCACTTGGAAAACATGAATAGGAGGCAAGAGCTCCACCAGCTGACTGAAAATAAGAATATAAAATTTTCATAAGCGATACTTCAAATTTACTTAAAAACTTTGGTTGAATTTATCATTTTTTAGGTTTGTCTATTTAAAAAAAAAAAAAAAAAAACTACAAAACTAAAATACATTCCCATTAAAGAAGAATTTCAGGTATGGATATTTTTAGATACAGTAGTTACATTGGTCCAGTGTGGACCAATGTAACTATGCAAATACAATATCATACCTGTGGGATCCCTCTAGAAGCTGGAAATCACTGCAGTGGACACTACTACTACAGTTATCGCCTCTAGCTTCTGGGTTCTGTACCAGCAAGCTGCCCTGCTGTGTTTTGAACACTGGAGATCACCTGCTTGGCATAGGCACCATTCAGAGATTGCCTTGCATTTTCTCAATGAGTAAAAAGCATTCTCTAGTTGAATGAGGTGTAGAGTCGGGCAGTGATGTCAGGCTCTTCACCTTATCCAATCAGAGAATGTTTTGCATTCACTGAAAAAATGCAAAGTATTTTCTGAATGGCGCCAGTGCCAAACTGTGTTCACAATGCAGCAGGGCAACTGGTCGGCACAGGACCTGGTAGCTAGTGGAGATCACTGGAGTAGTGGTGCCTACTACAGTCAGTGATTTCCAGCTTTCAGGGGGATTCTAAGCTAGACCAATGTAACTATGTAAAACTTTCCATACCTGGAATTATTTTTAAGGCTCACCCTGCAAAGTTAGAGGCAGTTTGTCATTAAATAAAAAAATACCTGTGGGAGAAGCTTCACATGGTTGCTGCACTCCTGGCTTACATATTAGTTCAAAGATCATGATTTCACTCTGAAAGAAGATGAATAGGTTTAGTGTCCAGGGCCTTGAATGAGGTTGCAAACTCTGAAAATGGCAGCTTGTCTTGTCTTAGAACTTTCACCCATGATGCAAATATGTAAGTAGTGACATTTTTTCTGTTTTTTTTTTTATTAGGTAGCAGATTACTTGGAAAGTAAATTCTCTGAACGTAAGAGTCCAAATAAAATGAAATTAACCATGGTTATTGGAGCACAGCCCTGGCTAGCCAATATGAATGCCCCTCTATATGTGGCTGCCCAGAAAGCAGTCAAAAAAGGTACAAGAGTTGCAAATGGAACATTTTAGTCAAAAAAATATACATTACAATAAATATGTACATTGGCAAACTTTGAGATGGCTTCTAAAATGGAATACATATACAAAAGAATAAAAAGAGCCAATCCCACCAAAACATTCAAAATATATATCCAAATCTTTAGGAACTTTACTTGAATCTATACTGAGGTTTACATTAAAATTTACAGAAAATTACAATAAATACCCAACACGCAACAAAAGCTGGTAAACATAGTGATACCCTTATAATTTACTCAAACCCTCAAAATTCTAAAATGTGCAGTGAAGACCAAACTGATATTTAAATTCTGACTTTTGATTAAGTCAACAGCTATACCCATTGCTATCTACGCCCCCTGGACGCCAATAGAAACATAGAAGATGGTGGCAGTAAGAAGAGCAAGTGGACAAATAAAGGGTTAACAAACCCAGGACCCTGCATTTACTATATCTGGTCGCCCACAGCACACAGAACATGGAAATGCAATTGTTATAGTAAATGTAAACTGCTAAATACCTTTTCTCATTAGATATTAGAGCAATCTTGTGACTTCTATCAGTGTCCAGCAGAGCACTGGTTACAGCTTTGTAGGCAGAGTTTTTATTCTCCGGTAGGAGAATGCAGAACCCCTGACCTCTGCCTGGATAGTGCTGATTGGCCCTGTGCTGATCACATGCACTCTCCCAAGAAAAAACAAACAAAAAAACACTCTCTAGCAATACACAGCAAACTGAGCATGTGCAGCGTACCCCAGAGCCTCTGTTCTATCAGGAGATATTTAGTAGATACTGGAAGAAGGGGAGAATCACAGAAGTCAAGATCAAACATTATTTTTACAAAATGCAGAGGATTACCTTTTAGGTTCCACAATGAGTATAACAAGCATGCTTTACTGCATATACAGAATGATTTTACTGTTGTGGGTTTAGTAACACTTTAAGTCTGCGCCAGTTTTGATGAATATTCCATGAGTTACAAAACATTTTCAAGTGCTTTAATCCCCAGCATCCACCAAAAATGTACAGTATATATCACTTTTAGGAAGCAAATCCTTTAAATTGGAACTAAAAACTACTAGCAGCAGTTATGCAGAAGATATTTGTATGTCTTTTTAGCAATAAATTGTACACCTTTACAATACGTTACATCACAACCTGAAGAGCCAGTCCCTCAGTTTAATAAAGTAAAGGATTAAATGGCTATTTGAGAAACAACATGTTTGGTGATCCGACTAAATATGTTTGTAGTCATGCAAACACCATCTAAAAATTAAGGATAATAGAACTAAATAGAATAATGCTCTGTTCAATATTTGTATTTTTTTATCTCTGCCTGCCCTCTAGTGTTCAACATTGATGCAGATATGATCCGTGCTGGAGGAACAATTCCAATAGCCAAAAGGTTAGAGGAAATTTTAGGAAAACCTGTCATGTTACTTGGAATTGGAGGGCCAGATGATGCTCCACATGGACAGAACGAGAAGATAAGCAAGTAAGTTGGTATTTCTCTGACTTGAGCTAGGTTTAAAGTGGTATTAAACCTAAAAGCAACCATACTGTATATCACAGCTTGCCCTTTCTTATATATGATGGCAGCATTCAGTTTCTTTTTTTGGCTTTCTTTCTTCTGTTTTCATCTGGTGATCCAGCCAATAAGTCTGCTGTTTTTGAAAAGAACAAGCGCTCCAGCAGAATGTATCAGTTACAGAGATGATACAAGCCATTTAACACTGGCAGGGTTGCTTTCAATGACCAGCTTTCATTTATTTATGTAAAACCTGTGCCAAGAGGAAAAAAAACTGTGCTGTAACTGCTTATAAAGTGTGAGCTGGAGTTCAGCTTCAATCTATTAGTGCAGGGGTGGGCAACTGTGGCCCTCCAGCTGTTGGTGAACTACAAGTCCCATCATGCCTCTGCCTTTGGAAGTCATGCTTGTAACTGTCAGTTTTGCAATGCCTCATGGGACTTGTAGTTCTACAACAGCTGGAGGGCCACAGTTGCCCACCCCTGTATTAGTGGATCTAAATGTATTAGTGGATCTAAATCTGCTAGTACATCTAACACTCCTCTCCCCTTAGATTAACAATGCTGCTGTTCAAAGGTGCCCCTGTGTCCTTCATCCAGAGTAGGGTCAGTCTAATACAGGAGATGTGTTACTGACCAGATCACCAGGTGAAAAAAAGAGGGAACAAATCCTAAAAAAGAAAAACTAATGCAACCACCACATCCAATGATTGGTAAGCTGCAATATACACTGCTCAAAAAAAATAAGGAACACTTTGAAAACACATCAGATCTCAATGGGGTAAAACATCATGCTGGATATCTATACTGATATGGACTGGGAAATGTGTTAGGAACGTAAGGATTCCCCATTGTTTGATGGAAATGAAAATGATCAACCTACAGAGGACAGAATTCAAAGACACTCCGAAAATCAAAGTGAAAAAATGATGCAGCAGGCTAGTCCATTTTGCTGAGATTTCATTGCAGCAACTCAGAATGGTACTCAGTAGTTTGTATGGCCCCCACATGCTTGTATATATAACTGACAATGTCGGGGCATGCTCCTAATGAGATGACGGATGGTGTCCTGGGGTGTTTCCTCCCAGATCTGGACCAGGGCATCACTGAGCTCCTGGACAGTCTGGGGTGCAACCTGGCGGCGTCGAATGGACCAAAACATGATATCCCAGAGGTGTTCTATTGGAGTTAGGTCAGGCGAGTGTGGAGGCCATTCAATGGTATCAATTCCTTCATCCTCCAGGAACTGCCTGCATACTTTTGCCACATGAGGCGAGCATTGTTGTTCACCAGGAAGAACCCTGGACCCGTTGCACCAGTGTAGGGTCTGACAATGGGTCCAAGGATTTCATCCCGATACCTAATGGCAGTCAGGGTGCCATTGTCTAGCCTGTAGAGGTCTGTGCGTCCCTCCATGGATATGCCTCCTCAGACCATCATTGACCCACCACCAAAACGGTCATGCGGAATGATGTTACAGGCAGCATAATGTTCTCCATGGCTTCTCCAGACCCTTTCACATCTGTCACATGTGCTCAGGATGAACCTGCTCTCATCTGTGAAAAGCACAGGACGCTAGTTACGGACCTGCCAATTCTGGTGTTCAATGGCAAATGCCAATCAGCTCTATGGTGCCGGGCAGTAAGCACAGTGCCCACTAGAGGATGTCGGGCCCTCAGGCCACCCTCAGGAAGTCTGTTTCTGATTGTTTGGTCAGAGACATTCACACCAGTGGCCTGCTGGAGGTCATTTTGTAGGGCTCTGGCAGTGCTCATCATGTTCCTCCTTGCACAAAAGAGCATATACCGGTCCTGCTGATGGGTTAAGGACCTTCTACGGCCCTCTCCAGCTCTCCTAGAGTAACTGTATGTCTCCTGAAATCTCCTCCATGCTCTTGAGACTGTGCTGGGAAACACAGCAAACCTTCTGGCAATGGCACGTATTGCTGTACCAATCCTGGAGGAGTTGGACTGCCTGTGCAACCTCTGTAGGGTCCAGGTGTCGCCTCGTGCTACCAGAAGTGACACTGACCCTAGCCAAATGCAAAACTAGTGAAAAACAGTCAGAAAAGATGAGTAGGGAAAAAAGGTCAGTGGCCTCCACCTGTAAAACCATTCCTGTTTTGGGGATCGTCTCATTGTTGCCCATCTAATGCACCTGTTGTTAATTTCATTGACACCAAAGCGGCTGAAACTGATTAACAACCCCCTCTGCTACTTAACTGACCAGATCAATATCCCAGGAGTTTAACTGAGTAGATGCTATACTCTGATTAAAAAGTGTTCAGTTTTTTTTGAGCAGTGTATATGCCCACTCAGTTTAGTATATAAAGTAAAGCTGTGATTCCATTAAATACTCAATCATAAGGGAAAAAATTGATTTTTGCTTACATATGACTGGGTGATTGAAGCGCTCATAGCTTTACATCATTCAAGAAATAATTAAACTTTTACTTTACAATGTGAACATACTTAATCAAGGAAATCTTTTGGGTGTGCACCCTATGATCATAGGCAGGTGACAGTCAGCATTTGTTCCAATCACTCCAAAAAGTGTCAGGTTTAGTAGGTAAAGCTAATTAAGGGTAGAAATGTAAAGTAATGAGTATGCTTCCACAGTTACAATAATTAAATTTGAATATTATGATTACATTGGCTAAATGTTTAGCACTTCCGCCTGGCAGTACTAAGGTCATCGGTTTAAATTCCAATCAGGACACTACCTGCCTGGAGTTTGCATGTTCTCCCTGTGCCTGCGTGGGTTTCCTCCAGGTACTCCGGTTTCCTCCCACACTCCAAAGACATGTTGGTAGGTGAATTGGCTCCTGTCTAAATTGGCCCTAGTATGTGTATGCATGAATGTTAGTTAGGGATCTTAGATTGTACGCCCCTTGAGGGTTAGGGACTGATGTGACTGTACAATATATATGTACAGCACTGCGTAAATTGAGGACGCTATATAAGTACCTATAATAAATAAATAAATTTCTGCAAAAGCCCACTCATGACAGGTTTTCTTTGAAATACAGTCTTTTTTTAATAGAAACAAGTTTTTTTTTTTTTACAAACCGTTATTTACATACTGTAAAATACAAAATTCATAAAGGATCATGACAAATCAAAAACAATATAAATGAAAACTTAAAAAGCATATTCATCACTACTTACAAGTTACAAGCAGTGCCATTGCCATTAAATATATGTATTTCTTTTCAGGTACAACTACATTGAAGGAACAAAATTATATGGATCTTTTCTTCAAGAAATTGCAAAAGTCTGACCTTATTTTTTCCCCAAACATAATGATATGCTTTTGCAAAGTTAAAATTCATCTATGCAGTATCAGTGTCATTTTAGCTATGATAAAGGCATTTTAATCTACTATTAAATAGGCTTATCTATGCATTTCTACTTACCAGTTATTATCACAAATTATTTAAAGGGATCAAGTGAACATGTAACATAAGATGACATTTTCACACTCTGTTCCATTTTGCATGATTAGCCTCAGCTTTTGCAAATGTCAGTATTAGGCTATTTACTCAGCCATTTATTCATTTAAGGAAACCTTATCAATGACAATTTACCTGGAAGGCTTTATATCTGATCTCGAACTTACATCAAGCACTCAGTATTGACTGCACTTGTATTGAAAACATTGGCTTGCAGTTGTTTGCAGTATAGGTGATGTGTTTTATAGGTTATAAGTACAAAATGAATGTAAATATGGATCTTGCATTTACTAAAAGCAAGTCAGACAGTTACCTGATATCAGTATGGCACAAGCTGTACAAATAAATATATTTTGCAAATAAATTATGAGTCGACATATAGTTTAACTGTGCTGTAATACAGTGATAAGAAATAACAAAAAGGCATAGCAATGTAAAAACGCTAAGTGTACCCCTCAAAGGACATGAAGTCATGCATAACAATGTGCAATGGCCTGGCCCTGAAATCATGTCACTGGACTTGAGAAAAACGGTTTTGAATGTGATCTGTCATTCTGAAGCACTGGGTGTGGTGATATTGACCCTTACCTTGTACATTAACACAAAGCAGAGAAAGTTAGACAATTCTCAAATCTCTGGTAATAGCATAAACAGTACTTAGCAGAGCCTTAAAGTATATGTGAACCCTTACCTTGTAAAAACAACCCATTCAGTTTTAAACAGAAAAAATGCAAGGCAAAACATTTTGTGTGTATAAATTCCTTTTTTTCTTTGTATTAAGTGAACACATGATCTCTGTTCCCAGCTGTATAAACAGTTTGGAGAGGTGGAGGTGTGTCAGCAGGAGGCAGAAAAACAGCAGTACACTGCTCTTCCCAGAGAAGAGCTGTGCAAAGGGGTGAGTCAGCACATGTAACTCTGACAATTAGAGGGGACAGGCAGGCTGTCTTTCTCAGCAAACTGAGCACATTTGGATGGATGAGATCCCATGCATAGCACGGTCAGCTTGAAAATAGGAAAGCAGGAGGACTGGCAGGATCATCAGCTATTTCACACAAATGAAAAAATGCAAAGAGAACAGGATACTTTTTATCAAAAAGTACATGGTAAACAGGCTTATATCATAAATAAAAAATGTTGGGTAACATACTCTTTAATGCAGCCCTGTTATAAATAACCAACTGTAAGTAAATACACATTCTGGTCCAGGATTTAACTACTGACTTTAGTTCATATTCCATACTTCTGGATGTAACAGAGATACCATCACAAAATACTATGATTCAGCAAAATAAAAAAAAAAATCAATCAGTTAGATTGAAATACATCTATATTACAAAGGGTAGTAGGTTGATTGTACATATTTACACATCCTAAGGAAGACATACATATGATTAAAATATCATATTTGGTGTCTAGCAATTTGTAACTCAATTCTATTCAATAAAATATTTGTTGTCAGTTTGTAAAGCCTTGTCATCTGGAAATATAGTTGTAGTTAGAATTATTGGCATTAAGAGAGTGTCCACTGAAGAATAATTACACACTATAGCAGACCTACATCACACCCATCAGATCTTGTGATTGGGTGGAGATTAGCTCTATTGGATCCACATAAATCTGCCACAACTGGAAATCTTATCTTATAAAGTGCAGCAATATAAGCAAAATCATTTATTCCACAAAATTGGCAACTCACAATAGTAGTAGTCAAATGAGCGCTTGTCAAACTGGTGTCAACCACTGTGCAACTCTTGGCTGGTCCCGCTGCAGGGAAGTCTCTAAAGCACTGGCTGTGCTGGTGGTTCCCAATACTTCCTAGTCGGTGTGGATCCTCAGGGCAGGTGGGAGTGATGTGAGCTCCAGGTAGAGCAGCAGTAGCTGTGGCATGCATTCGGAACATGCTCCTTCATCAGGCCTTATGAAGCCAGAACTACACTGGAATGGTTTAGATGAAATCATATTCATGTGTTAGAATGGCCCAGTCAACGTCCAGACCTAAATCCAATTGAGAATCTGTGGGCAGATTTGAAAATTGCTGTTTACAGATGCTCTCCATCTAATGTGACAGAGCTTGAGCTATGTTGCAAAGAAGAATGGGCAAAAATTTCACTCTAGATGTTAAAAGCTGGTAGAGACATGCCCATAGAGTTGGAGCTGTATTTGCAGTGAAAATTGTTTCTGCAAAGTATTGACCCAAGGGGGCTGAATACAAATGTACACCACACGTTTCAGATATATATTTCTAAAAAAAATGTGAAAACCATTTATCATGTTCCTTCCACTTCACAATTATGTGCCACTTTGTGTTGGTCTATCACATAAAATACCACTAAAATACATTTACGTTTATGGTTGTGACATGACAAAATGTGGAAAATTTCAAGGGGTATGAATACTTTTTCAAGGCACTGTATATATACGCAAAGCTCACCCAGGTCAAGAATTGACATAAAACTGTCATAATGTACAAAAACTACATTCCTTTTGTCAGCAGCACAAAAGTTTTGTGCAGGTAAATTGTAGATCCAACATAGTATAACTCAAATCTTTAATATCCTAGGGGTTAAGTAATAGATCAACCAAAGCCAGGATTCCCAGACTCTGCTGGCTAATTCAGGAGGGATTGGGTAAAAACATTCTAAGTGAGTGAGCATGGTATTCACTAAGACATCCTTTCTCAACTTTTACCCCAGAGGAATCCTTGAAAAAAATGTCAGGTCTCAGAAAAGCCATGCTAAAAACAACTCATTGGTGGTCTGTGGGAAAAATGACCCTTACAATCATGGCTAGTCGGAAAAATTCCCCCATTAAAATGGTAGCTAGAATGCCACCTTTATAGGCACCTTAAAAAGATCATTAGGTTCCTGCAGCTGGCTCTACCATGTGGTGTTCATCCTGTAATAATTCAGGCACCATCAAAAAGGGAGATTAATCAGCTACAGCTCAATGAACTTCTAGCAACCTCTGGAGGAACCCTGGTATACAATGTCTGCCCTCAGATCATTGTGGCAAATACACAACATTTGCCTACAGCACGTGAGTGACACAAGTTAAAAGGTTGCTCATGGCCATTAGCATACTATTGGATAGTGTATTTATTATTTGTGGATGATTTTGTCATTCTATTGTTGATGTGTGACTTCTGATTGGATAACTTGTTAAGGCTAAACACATGCCTATAAACCAACTTTTCACTCGTGACATCACCAGATACTTACAGTATATGCTGTCACATTGCACCCACATGTACCTGTGTGGGACTGGCTAGCTTAGTTGTAATAAGCTGATTTGAAAATGCTCCCTTTATGTGCTCCACTGTTTCTACCCACATTTTGACAGCTGCTTGAAATCTGAATTGTTTAAGCACTGTGTGAAAATGTCTAAACTCACTCCATCACTGAGAACTCACAGCCAGAGGTGTAAATTGAACCTTCAGGGCCCTGGTTCAGGAAACCATAAAGGGCCCCCCGCTGGGGTCCTTCCCTTTGAGCCAGTGGTGGAACATTAGGGCCCAGTTTCAAGTGCGAGTGTTGTGATCCATGTGGTTCTGCCACTGGTGTCAGTAGTTTTTTTATTTATGTTATTTTATTTTTTTATTATTTTTTTGTATTTCAATGGTTTTTATTAACTTTTTAAACATTTTAACAAAGAAAGACTTGAGCAAAAGACACGGCCACGCAGTGGCTCTCAATGGCACATTAAAAATAAAGAGAACAATGTTATAACACCAACATTGCAGAAGTCGCGTCCACGCAGGGGCTATCAATGGCACATAAAATACAAAAACAGTGATATAAACACCAACAGAAGCTCAAACAATAGGCAAATATCTATCTCCTCACAGACATCAAACAAAAATAAAAAAGGAAAAAAAAGGAGTAGAGAAAGAAGAAGAAAAGACCAGAAGCAGAGATCCGGGAACGCCACCACCGAACAGCATCATACACCAAGACTAGCCAGGGGGAGCATGGGAAAAGCATATGTCAACCACGGCTCCCATATTTTCAAAAATTTCCATTGGGAGTCATTACGGATACTCAACATCTGTTCATTGAGCATCAGAGTGGTCATATGGTCCCGCACCCCCTGAAGAGGGACAGATGTACTTTTCCAGGCCTGAGCAATTGTTCTAGTTGCTGACAAGAACCAATAGAAAACCAAATTCTGCTGGTGAGCCAACAGACCTGGTATGGGACAATGAAACAAAGCATACCAAGCTTCCTGGCATATAGAGAGATGGAACAAGGTGTAAAGAAGGCCAAATACATGAGACCAAAAATGAATCAGTCTCAGGCAAGACCACCATATATGCAACACATCTCCATGATGGCCACAACCCTGAAAGCAGCGATCACTATAGGCAGGGTTCACCAAGGCTATAAGAGCCGGGACCCAATACCAACAAAACAGTACTTTATATGCCACCTCCAAATTGGCTTTATAAATGAACATTTAGCTATAAACGACCAGGCCTTATTCCAGTCCTCCAGATCCTCGACCGCCCCCAAGTCACGCTCCCACTGACATATGATAGAGAAGTACGCGTTGAGCGCCTATTCAAGGATTCATAGAGTAGGTAAAAAAGATCCGGTGTGCCCGGACGCTGTGGGCAAAAATGTTCAAACGCAGATTTCTGATATGGAAAGGCGGAAGTGCCACAAAGAGAAGTTAGCCAGTTGAAGGTAATGAAAATATTGCGCCTGATGGACACCCCGTGATTCCCAAAGAGAGTTCCAGGTGGGGGAGGACCGAGAAGTCAAAAAGTGTCGCACCTGTGAAAAACCATTGGCCACCCACCAAGAGAATGCCCCTGGGTGATCTAGGC